GTCTGTCTGTGTCTGTCTGTGTCTGTCTGTGTCTGTCTGTGTCTGTCTATGTCTGTCTATGTCTGTCTGTGTCTGTCTGTGTCTGTCTGTGTCTGTCTATGTCTGTCTGTGTCTGTCTGTGTCTGTCTATGTCTGTCTATGTCTGTCTGTGTCTGTCTGTGTCTGTCTGTGTCTGTCTATGTCTGTCTGTGTCTGTCTGTGTCTGTCTGTGTCTGTCTATGTCTGTCTGTGTCTGTCTGTGTCTGTCTGTGTCTGTCTGTGTCTGTCTGTGTCTGTCTGTGTCTGTCTGTGTCTGTCTGTGTCTGTCTATGTCTGTCTGTGTCTGTCTATGTCTGTCTATGTCTGTCTATGTCTGTCTGTGTCTGTCTATGTCTGTCTGTGTGTCTATGTCTGTCTATGTCTGTCTGTGTCTGTCTGTGTCTGTCTGTGTCTGTCTGTCTGTGTCTGTCTGTGTCTGTCTATGTCTGTCTGTGTCTGTCTGTGTCTATCTGTCTGTGTCTGTCTGTGTCTCTCTATGTCTGTCTGTGTCTGTCTGTGTCTATCTATCTGTGTCTGTCTGTGTCTGTCTGTGTCTGTCTGGGTCTGTCTATGTCTGTCTATGTCTGTCTGTGTCTGTCTGTGTCTGTCTATGTCTGTCTATGTCTGTCTGTGTCTATCTGTCTGTGTCTGTCTGTGTCTGTCTATGTCTGTCTGTGTCTGTCTGTGTCTGTCTGTGTCTGTCTATGTCTGTCTGTGTCTGTCTATGTCTGTCTATGTCTGTCTGTGTCTGTCTGTGTCTGTCTGTGTCTGTCTGTCTGTCTATGTCTGTCTATGTCTGTCTGTGTATGTCTATGTCTGTCTATGTCTGTCTGTGTCTGTCTGTGTCTGTCTGTGTCTGTCTGTCTGTCTATGTCTGTCTATGTCTGTCTGTGTCTGTCTGTGTCTGTCTGTGTCTGTCTGTCTGTGTCTGTCTGTGTCTGTCTATGTCTGTCTGTGTCTGTCTGTGTCTATCTGTCTGTGTCTGTCTGTGTCTTTCTATGTCTGTCTGTGTCTGTCTGTGTCTATCTATCTGTGTCTGTCTGTGTCTGTCTGTGTCTGTCTATGTCTGTCTGTGTCTGTCTGTGTCTATCTATCTGTGTCTGTCTGTGTCTGTCTATGTCTGTCTATGTCTGTCTGTGTCTGTCTGTGTCTATCTGTCTGTGTCTGTCTGTGTCTGTCTATGTCTGTCTGTGTCTGTCTGTGTCTGTCTATGTCTGTCTATGTCTGTCTGTGTCTGTCTGTGTCTATGTCTGTCTGTCTATGTCTGTCTGTGTTTTTGTGTCTGTCTATGTCTGTCTGTGTCTGTCTGTGTCTGTCTGTGTCTGTCTGCCTATGTCTGTCTGTGTCTGTCTATGTCTGTCTGTGTCTGTCTGTGTCTGTCTGTGTCTGTCTGTGTCTGTCTATGTCTGTCTATGTCTGTCTGTGTCTGTCTGTGTCTGTCTGTGTCTGTCTGTGTCTGTCTGTGTCTGTCTATGTCTGTCTGTGTCTGTCTATGTCTGTCTGTGTCTGTCTATGTCTGTCTGTGTCTGTCTGTGTCTGTCTATGTCTGTCTATGTCTGTCTGTGTCTGTCTGTGTCTGTCTCTCTGTCTGTGTCTGTCTATGTCTGTCTGTGTCTGTGTGTCTATGTCTGTCTGTGTCTGTCTGTGTCTGTCTATGTCTGTCTGTGTCTGTCTGTGTCTGTCTGTGTCTGTCTATGTCTGTCTGTGTCTGTCTGTGTCTGTCTGTGTCTGTCTGTGTCTGTCTATGTCTGTCTGTGTCTGTCTGTGTCTGTCTGTGTCTGTCTATGTCTGTCTATGTCTGTCTGTGTCTGTCTGTGTCTGTCTATGTCAGTCTATGTCTGTCTATGTCTGTCTGTGTCTGTCTGTGTCTATCTGTCTGTGTCTTTCTATGTCTGTCTGTGTCTGTCTATCTGTGTCTGTGTGTCTATGTCTGTCTGTGTCTGTCTGTGTCTGTCTGTGTCTGTGGTTAAGGTTAGGGTTAAGGTGGTCTGAGTAAGATGGTTAAGGTTAGGGTTAAGGTGGTCTGAGTAAGATGGTTAAGGTTAGGGTTAAGGTGGTCTGAGTAAGATGGTTAAGGCTAGGGTTAAGGTGGTCTGAGTAAGATGGTTAAGGTTAGGGTTAAGGTGGGTCTGAGTCAGATGGTTAAGGTTAGGGTTAAGGTGGTCTGAGTAAGATGGTTAAGGTTAGGGTTAAGGTGGTCTGAGTAAGATGGTTAAGGTTAGGGTTAAGGTGGTCTGAGTAAGATGGTTAAGGTTAGGGTTAAGGTGGTCTGAGTAAGATGGTTAAGGTTAGGGTTAAGGTGGTCTGAGTAAGATGGTTAAGGTTAGGGTTAAGGTGGTCTGAGTAAGATGGTTAAGGTTAGGGTTAAGGTGGTCTGAGTAAGATGGTTAAGGTTAGGGTTAAGGTGGTCTGAGTAAGATGGTTAAGGTTAGGGTTAAGGTGGTCTGAGTAAGATGGTTAGGGTTAAGGCGGTCTGAGTAAGATGGTTAAGGTTAGGGTTAAGGTGGTCTGAGTAAGATGGTTAGGGTTAGGGTTAAGGTGGTCTGAGTAAGATGGTTAAGGTTAGGGTTAAGGTGGTCTGAGTAAGATGGTTAAGGTTAAGGTTAAGGTGGTCTGAGTAAGATGGTTAAGGTTAGGGTTAAGGTGGTCTGAGTAAGATGGTTAAGGTTAGGGTTAAGGTGGTCTGAGTAAGATGGTTAAGGTTAGGGTTAAGGTGGTCTGAGTAAGATGGTTAAGGTTAGGGTTAAGGTGGTCTGAGTAAGATGGTTAAGGTTAGGGTTAAGGTGGTCTGAGTAAGATGGTTAAGGTTAGGATTAAGGTGGTCTGAGTAAGATGGTTAAGGTTAGGGTTAAGGTGGTCTGAGTAAGATGGTTAAGGTTAGGGTTAAGGTGGTCTGAGTAAGATGGTTAAGGTTAGGGTTAAGGTGGTCTGAGTAAGATGGTTAAGGTTAGGGTTAAGGTGGGTCTGAGTAAGATGGTTAGGTTAGGGTTAAGGTGGTCTGAGTAAGATGGTTAAGGTTAGGGTTAAGGTGGTCTGAGTAAAATGGTTAAGGTTAGGGTTAAGGTGGTCTGAGTAAGATGGTTAAGGTTAAGGTGGTCTGAGTAAGATGGTTAAGGTTAGGGTTAAGGTGGTCTGAGTAAGATGGTTAAGGTTAGGGTTAAGGTGGTCTGAGTAAGATGGTTAAGGTTAGGGTTAAGGTGGTCTGAGTAAGATGGTTAAGGTTAGGGTTAAGGTGGTCTGAGTAAGATGGTTAAGGTTAGGGTTAAGGTGGGTCTGAGTAAGATGGTTAAGGTTAGGGTTAAGGTGGTCTGAGTAAGATGGTTAAGGTTAAGGTTAAGGTGGTCTGAGTAAGATGGTTAAGGTTAGGGTTAAGGTGGTCTGAGTAAGATGGTTAAGGTTAGGGTTAAGGTGGTCTGAGTAAGATGGTTAAGGTTAGGGTTAAGGTGGTCTGAGTAAGATGGTTAAGGTTAGGGTTAAGGTGGTCTGAGTAAGATGGTTAAGGTTAGGGTTAAGGTGGTCTGAGTAAGATGGTTAAGGTTAGGATTAAGGTGGTCTGAGTAAGATGGTTAAGGTTAGGGTTAAGGTGGTCTGAGTAAGATGGTTAAGGTTAGGGTTAAGGTGGTCTGAGTAAGATGGTTAAGGTTAGGGTTAAGGTGGTCTGAGTAAGATGGTTAAGGTTAGGGTTAAGGTGGGTCTGAGTAAGATGGTTAGGTTAGGGTTAAGGTGGTCTGAGTAAGATGGTTAAGGTTAGGGTTAAGGTGGTCTGAGTAAAATGGTTAAGGTTAGGGTTAAGGTGGTCTGAGTAAGATGGTTAAGGTTAAGGTGGTCTGAGTAAGATGGTTAAGGTTAGGGTTAAGGTGGTCTGAGTAAGATGGTTAAGGTTAGGGTTAAGGTGGTCTGAGTAAGATGGTTAAGGTTAGGGTTAAGGTGGTCTGAGTAAGATGGTTAAGGTTAGGGTTAAGGTGGTCTGAGTAAGATGGTTAAGGTTAGGGTTAAGGTGGGTCTGAGTAAGATGGTTAAGGTTAGGGTTAAGGTGGTCTGAGTAAGATGGTTAAGGTTAGGGTTAAGGTGGTCTGAGTAAGATGGTTAAGGTTAGGGTTAAGGTGGTCTGAGTAAGATGGTTAAGGTTAGGGTTAAGGTGGTCTGAGTAAGATGGTTAAGGTTAGGGTTAAGGTGGTCTGAGTAAGATGGTTAAGGTTAGGGTTAAGGTGGTCTGAGTAAGATGGTTAAGGTTAGGGTTAAGGTGGTCTGAGTAAGATGGTTAAGGTTAGGGTTAAGGTGGTCTGAGTAAGATGGTTAAGGTTAGGGTTAAGGTGGTCTGAGTAAGATGGTTAAGGTTAGGGTTAAGGCGGTCTGAGTAAGATGGTTAAGGTTAGGGTTAAGGTGGTCTGAGTAAGATGGTTAAGGTTAGGGTTAAGGTGGTCTGAGTAAGATGGTTAAGGTTAGGGTTAAGGTGGTCTGAGTAAGATGGTTAAGGTTAGGGTTAAGGTGGTCTGAGTAAGATGGTTAAGGTTAGGGTTAAGGTGGGTCTGAGTAAGATGGTTAAGGTTAGGGTTAAGGTGGGTCTGAGTAAGATGGTTAAGGTTAGGGTTAAGGTGGTCTGATTAAGATAGTTAAGGTTAGGGTTAAGGTGGTCTGAGTAAGATGGCTAAGGTTAGGGTTAAGGTGGGTCTGATTAAGATGGTTAAGTTTAGTCATGAATAGGTAGTTTGTTATCTTTACTTCCGCTTCCGTCCAGATTCCGTGACGTAATCTACTGCTGCGTATGCTCAATGGATCAAACTGAACTTCCGGACGAATCCGGTTTCCGGGACAATTCCGGGAGTGACAGCTAGCGCTAGGTGCTAAAGCTAGCACTCAGTGCTAAAGCTAGCACTCGGTGCTAAAGCTAGCAGCACTTCCACACATGAGGATGTCCCAGTCCTGTCTCAGCCTCAGTGCGTGGACCAGTGTTGGCAGGTCCCGGCTCAAAAGTGTCCAAAATGACGTGCGCTGACATGCTGCAGTACCACCCCGGGCCTGTGGGGGTGGACCCTGACATGCTGCAGTACCACTCCGGGCCTGTGGGGGTGGACCCTGACATGCTGCAGTACCACCCCGGGCCTGTGGGGGTGGACCCGGAATGAGAATTAGCCAATGCTAACATATAGCATCTTCTTACCTCTGGAAAACGTCTTTACAGGATGGTCCAAAAGTGTCTCTTGGCCCAAAGCTCCGTTCCACATGTGTGTCAATGCTGAGTGTTCTGGACCAGTCTAGTTTAGTCGCTGTGGACTTTAGAAGTCTCTCGTTCAAATGAATGGAGCTCTCTCCGGCTGACACCTGCGCAGATGTGTTTTTTCACAATTTTCTTGTGGGCGGGACCACTCGCGGCCATTTTGGATAGCTCCAGTAGAGCATTATTTTAGGCCCATTAGTTAGAACGGCAGAGATAGGCCTGACTCTGTCTGTTCATATATACAGTCTATAACGTGGACACAGGAGGATCTTCTTCTGGGTGGATCACTGAGACCAGGGGGGTCTCCTACTGGATCAGGAGGATCTTCTTCTGGGTGGATCACTGAGACCAGGGGGGTCTCCTACTGGATCAGGAGGATCTTCTTCTGGGTGGATCACTGAGACCAGGGGGGTCTCCTACTGGATCAGGAGGATCTTCTTCTGGGTGGATCACTGAGACCAGGGGGGTCTCCTACTGGATCAGGAGGATCTTCTTCTGGGTGGATCACTGAGACCAGGGGGGTCTCCTACTGGATCAGGAGGCGAGGGTCCGGACATCACACAACCTGATGAAACATTTTTGTGATGTGATTGATTCGATAACAACTTAGAGTATAATAGAAAGTACATAATCAGAATTATTCTACTTACTACACACAGTGATTACCATAGCAACTAGGACTACCACGAGCTTAACAAAGACCAAGTTACAGATAATTAACCATAAACGATTGTTAATTAGTGAGGGCTAAAGTGTGTAAATTGTATGTACACCTTAGCTATGGAGTGTCTTGTTAGCTTGTGGCTTTTTTAGCTTGTTAGCTTGTTGTCTTTGTAGCTTGTTAGCTTGTGACCGTGGACGTTTCCATGGAGACAGTTGTAGCCCTGATGGTTATTGAGGTAGATACCATGGCAACAGCTGCTATGGCGACAGATGTGTTTGAACCGCGGGTACCAGAAGCACTTGTTTCCATGGCAACAGTGGTTCACATGGTGACAGAGGCAGTTTCCATGACAACAGTGGTTTCCATGGCGAAAGAGGCAGTTCCCATGGTGACAGTGGTTCCCATGGTGACAGAGGTAGTTCCCATGGCAACAGTGGTTTCCAGGGTGAAACGTGTGGGTGCTGAGCTGAGGGGATTAATGCTGTGACAGAAGGAGACAGAGCTCAGACCCGAAATACACATTTGGGATTTAGTTTGTTGTTGTGGTGTCTTCAAGACAACACACACATGCACACGCACGCACACACACAAAAATACAAACACACACATAAACTTGCACACACGCACACACACGAAACATAATAGACACTCGCACACAGACTGAATCTAAAGCAGTCAGCAGATGGACCAAGTCATACTTTCTGGATAGTTTCTAATTAGTATTGTAAACAATCAACAGTTGCATTGATCCCACAACTGTGTGTGTGTGTGTGTGCGCATTTGCGTGTGTGTGTGTGCGCGTGCATGTGGGTGTGTGTTTGTGTGTGTGTGTGCATGAGCGTGTATGTTTGCGTGTGTGGCTGTGTGTGTCTGTCTGCCTTGTCTGTGTGTGTGCATATGTGTGTGTGTGTGCATGTGTGTGTGTGTGTGTGTGTGTGCGTGTGTGTGTGTGTGTGTGTGCATGTGTGTGTGTGTGTGTGTGTGTTTGTGTCTGTGTGTGTGTGCGCATTTGCGTGTGTGTGTGCGTGTGTGTGTGTGCGCGTGCATGTGGGTGTGTGTTTGTGTGTGTGTGTGCATGAGCGTGTATGTTTGCGTGTGTGGCTGTGTGTGTCTGTCTGCCTTGTCTGTGTGTGTGCATGTGTGTGTGTGTGTGCATGTGCGTGTATGTGTGTGTGTGTGCATGTGCGTGTGTGTGTGTGCATGTGCGTGTGTGTGTGTGTGTGTGCATGTGTGTGTGTGTGTGTGTGTGTGCAGGACGGGCGCCTGCGGCCTGGAGACCAGCTCATTGCCATCAACAAAGAGTCTCTGATCGGAGTGACCCATGAGGAGGCGAGAAGCATGATCCACACAGTCAGGAGCGGGTGAGTGTCTGTGAGCACAGGGTCAGGAGCGGGTGAGTGTCTGTGAACACAGGGTCAGGAGCGGGTGAGTGTCTGTGAACAGGGTCAGGAGCGGGTGAGTGTCTGTGAGCAGAGTCAGGAGCGGGTGAGTGTCTGTGAACAGGGTCAGGAGCGGGTGAGTGTCTGTGAACAGGGTCAGGAGCGGGTGAGTGTCTGTGAACAGAGTCAGGAGCGGGTGAGTGTCTGTGAACAGGGTCAGGAGCGGGTGAGTGTCTGTGAGCAGGGTCAGGAGCGGGTGAGTGTCTGTGAACAGAGTCAGGAGCGGGTGAGTGTCTGTGAACAGGGTCAGGAGCGGGTGAGTGTCTGTGAGCAGAGTCAGGAGCGGGTGAGTGTCTGTGAACAGAGTCAGGAGCGGGTGAGTGTCTGTGAACAGGGTCAGGAGCGGGTGAGTGTCTGTGAGCAGAGTCAGGAGCGGGTGAGTGTCTGTGAACAGGGTCAGGAGCGGGTGAGTGTCTGTGAGCAGAGTCAGGAGCGGGTGAGTGTCTGTGAACAGAGTCAGGAGCGGGTGAGTGTCTGTGAACAGGGTCAGGAGCGGGTGAGTGTCTGTGAACAGAGTCAGGAGCGGGTGAGTGTCTGTGAACAGGGTCAGGAGCGGGTGAGTGTCTGTGAGCAGAGTCAGGAGCGGGTGAGTGTCTGTGAACAGAGTCAGGAGCGGGTGAGTGTCTGTGAGCAGAGTCAGGAGCGGGTGAGTGTCTGTGAACAGAGTCAGGAGCGGGTGAGTGTCTGTGAACAGAGTCAGGAGCGGGTGAGTGTCTGTGAACAGGGTCAGGAGCGGGTGAGTGTCTGTGAGCACAGGGTCAGGAGCGGGTGAGTGTCTGTGAGCACAGGGTCAGGAGCGGGTGAGTGTCTGTGAACACAGGGTCAGGAGCGGGTGAGTGTCTGTGAGCACAGAGTCAGGAGCGGGTGAGTGTCTGTGAGCAGGGTCAGGAGCGGGTGAGTGTCTGTGAACAGGGTCAGGAGCGGGTGAGTGTCTGTGAGCACAGAGTCAGGAGCGGGTGAGTGTCTGTGAACAGGGTCAGGAGCGGGTGAGTGTCTGTGAGCACAGAGTCAGGAGCGGGTGAGTGTCTGTGAGCACAGAGTCAGGAGCGGGTGAGTGTCTGTGAACAGGGTCAGGAGCGGGTGAGTGTCTGTGAACACAGGGTCAGGAGCGGGTGAGTGTCTGTGAGCACAGAGTCAGGAGCGGGTGAGTGTCTGTGAACACAGGGTCAGGAGCGGGTGAGTGTCTGTGAGCACAGAGTCAGGAGCGGGTGAGTGTCTGTGAGCACAGGGTCAGGAGCGGGTGAGTGTCTGTGAGCACAGAGTCAGGAGCGGGTGAGTGTCTGTGAGCACAGAGTCAGGAGCGGGTGAGTGTCTGTGAACAGAGTCAGGAGCGGGTGAGTGTCTGTGAGCACAGAGTCAGGAGCGGGTGAGTGTCTGTGAACACAGGGTCAGGAGCGGGTGAGTGTCTGTAAGCACAGGGTCAGGAGCGGGTGAGTGTCTGTGAGCACAGGGTCAGGAGCGGGTGAGTGTCTGTGAGCACAGGGTCAGGAGCGGGTGAGTGTCTGTGAGCACAGGGTCAGGAGCGGGTGAGTGTCTGTGAGCACAGAGTCAGGAGCGGGTGAGTGTCTGTGAGCACAGAGTCAGGAGCGGGTGAGTGTCTGTGAGCAGGGTCAGGAGCGGGTGAGTGTCTGTGAACAGGGTCAGGAGCGGGTGAGTGTCTGTGAGCACAGAGTCAGGAGCGGGTGAGTGTCTGTGAACAGGGTCAGGAGCGGGTGAGTGTCTGTGAACAGGGTCAGGAGCGGGTGAGTGTCTGTGAGCAGAGTCAGGAGCGGGTGAGTGTCTGTGAACAGGGTCAGGAGCGGGTGAGTGTCTGTGAACAGGGTCAGGAGCGGGTGAGTGTCTGTGAGCACAGAGTCAGGAGCGGGTGAGTGTCTGTGAGCACAGGGTCAGGAGCGGGTGAGTGTCTGTGAACAGGGTCAGGAGCGGGTGAGTGTCTGTGAGCAGAGTCAGGAGCGGGTGAGTGTCTGTGAACAGAGTCAGGAGCGGGTGAGTGTCTGTGAACAGGGTCAGGAGCGGGTGAGTGTCTGTGAGCACAGAGTCAGGAGCGGGTGAGTGTCTGTGAGCACAGTCAGGAGCGGGTGAGTGTCTCTGAGCAGAGTCAGGAGCGGGTGAGTGTCTGTGAGCACAGGGTCAGGAGCGGGTGAGTGTCTGTGAGCACAGAGTCAGGAGCGGGTGAGTGTCTGTGAACAGAGTCAGGAGCGGGTGAGTGTCTGTGAACAGGGTCAGGAGCGGTGAGTGTCTGTGAACAGAGTCAGGAGCGGGTGAGTGTCTGTGAACAGGGTCAGGAGCGGGTGAGTGTCTGTGAACAGGGTCAGGAGCGGGTGAGTGTCTGTGAACAGAGTCAGGAGCGGGTGAGTGTCTGTGAGCACAGAGTCAGGAGCGGGTGAGTGTCTGTGAACAGAGTCAGGAGCGGGTGAGTGTCTGTGAACAGAGTCAGGAGCGGGTGAGTGTCTGTGAACAGGGTCAGGAGCGGGTGAGTGTCTGTGAGCACAGGGTCAGGAGCGGGTGAGTGTCTGTGAACAGAGTCAGGAGCGGGTGAGTGTCTGTGAACAGAGTCAGGAGCGGGTGAGTGTCTGTGAGCACAGGGTCAGGAGCGGGTGAGTGTCTGTGAGCACAGAGTCAGGAGCGGGTGAGTGTCTGTGAGCACAGGGTCAGGAGCGGGTGAGTGTCTGTGAGCACAGAGTCAGGAGCGGGTGAGTGTCTGTGAGCACAGAGTCAGGAGCGGGTGAGTGTCTGTGAGCACAGAGTCAGGAGCGGGTGAGTGTCTGTGAGCACAGGGTCAGGAGCGGGTGAGTGTCTGTGAACAGAGTCAGGAGCGGGTGAGTGTCTGTGAACAGGGTCAGGAGCGGGTGAGTGTCTGTGAACAGAGTCAGGAGCGGGTGAGTGTCTGTGAGCACAGAGTCAGGAGCGGGTGAGTGTCTGTGAGCACAGTCAGGAGCGGGTGAGTGTCTGTGAGCAGAGTCAGGAGCGGGTGAGTGTCTGTGAGCACAGAGTCAGGAGCGGGTGAGTGTCTGTGAACAGGGTCAGGAGCGGGTGAGTGTCTGTGAACAGAGTCAGGAGCGGGTGAGTGTCTGTGAGCAGAGTCAGGAGCGGGTGAGTGTCTGTGAGCACAGTCAGGAGCGGGTGAGTGTCTGTGAGCACAGAGTCAGGAGCGGGTGAGTGTCTGTGAGCACAGGGTCAGGAGCGGGTGAGTGTCTGTGGAACACAGAGTCAGGAGCGGGTGAGTGTCTGTGAGCACAGAGTCAGGAGCGGGTGAGTGTCTGTGAGCACAGAGTCAGGAGCGGGTGAGTGTCTGTGAGCACAGGGTCAGGAGCGGGTGAGTGTCTGTGAGCACAGGGTCAGGAGCGGGTGAGTGTCTGTGAGCACAGGGTCAGGAGCGGGTGAGTGTCTGTGAGCACAGGGTCAGGAGCGGGTGAGTGTCTGTGAGCACAGGGTCAGGAGCGGGTGAGTGTCTGTGAGCACAGAGTCAGGAGCGGGTGAGTGTCTGTGAACACAGGGTCAGGAGCGGGTGAGTGTCTGTGAGCACAGAGTCAGGAGCGGGTGAGTGTCTGTGAGCACAGAGTCAGGAGCGGGTGAGTGTCTGTGAACAGGGTCAGGAGCGGGTGAGTGTCTGTGAACAGGGTCAGGAGCGGGTGAGTGTCTGTGAACAGAGTCAGGAGCGGGTGAGTGTCTGTGAACAGGGTCAGGAGCGGGTGAGTGTCTGTGAACAGAGTCAGGAGCGGGTGAGTGTCTGTGAACAGGGTCAGGAGCGGGTGAGTGTCTGTGAACAGAGTCAGGAGCGGGTGAGTGTCTGTGAACAGGGTCAGGAGCGGGTGAGTGTCTGTGAACAGGGTCAGGAGCGGGTGAGTGTCTGTGAGCAGAGTCAGGAGCGGGTGAGTGTCTGTGAACAGAGTCAGGAGCGGGTGAGTGTCTGTGAGCAGAGTCAGGAGCGGGTGAGTGTCTGTGAGCACAGGGTCAGGAGCGGGTGAGTGTCTGTGAGCAGAGTCAGGAGCGGGTGAGTGTCTGTGAGCACAGAGTCAGGAGCGGGTGAGTGTCTGTGAGCACAGGGTCAGGAGCGGGTGAGTGTCTGTGAGCAGAGTCAGGAGCGGGTGAGTGTCTGTGAGCACAGAGTCAGGAGCGGGTGAGTGTCTGTGAGCACAGTCAGGAGCGGGTGAGTGTCTGTGAGCACAGGGTCAGGAGCGGGTGAGTGTCTGTGAGCAGAGTCAGGAGCGGGTGAGTGTCTGTGAACAGGGTCAGGAGCGGGTGAGTGTCTGTGAACAGGGTCAGGAGCGGGTGAGTGTCTGTGAGCACAGGGTCAGGAGCGGGTGAGTGTCTGTGAGCAGAGTCAGGAGTCGGTGAGTGTCTGTGACACAGGAGCGGGTCAGCAGAGCGGGTGAGTGTCTGTGAGCACAGTCAGGAGCGGGTGAGTGTCTGTGACACAGGTCAGGAGCGGGTGAGTGTCTGTGAGCAGAGTCAGGAGCGGGTGAGTGTCTGTGAACAGGGTCAGGAGCGGGTGAGTGTCTGTGAGCAGAGTCAGGAGCGGTGAGTGTCTGTGAACAGGTCAGGAGCGGGTGAGTGTCTGTGAGCAGAGTCAGGAGCGGGTGAGTGTCTGTGAACAGAGTCAGGAGCGGGTGAGTGTCTGTGAACAGGGTCAGGAGCGGGTGAGTGTCTGTGAACAGAGTCAGGAGCGGGTGAGTGTCTGTGAACAGGGTCAGGAGCGGGTGGTGTGTGAACGGTCAGGAGTGTCTGTGAACAGGGTCAGGAGCGGGTGAGTGTCTGTGAACAGAGTCAGGAGCGGGTGAGTGTCTGTGAACAGGTCAGGAGCGGGTGAGTGTCTGTGAACAGGGTCAGGAGCGGGTGAGTGTCTGTGACGAGTAGGAGCGTGAGTGTCTGTGAACAGGTCAGGAGCGGGTGAGTGTCTGTGAGCAGAGTCAGGAGCGGGTGAGTGTCTGTGAGCACAGAGTCAGGAGCGGGTGAGTGTCTGTGAGCACAGAGTCAGGAGCGGGTGAGTGTCTGTGAGCACAGTCAGGAGCGGGTGAGTGTCTGTGAGCACAGGGTCAGGAGCGGGTGAGTGTCTGTGAGCACAGAGTCAGGAGCGGGTGAGTGTCTGTGAGCACAGGTCAGGAGCGGGTGAGTGTCTGTGAGCAGAGTCAGGAGCGGGTGAGTGTCTGTGAGCACAGAGTCAGGAGCGGGTGAGTGTCTGTGAGCACAGGGTCAGGAGCGGGTGAGTGTCTGTGAACAGAGTCAGGAGCGGGTGAGTGTCTGTGAGCAGAGTCAGGAGCGGGTGAGTGTCTGTGAACAGGGTCAGGAGCGGGTGAGTGTCTGTGAACAGGGTCAGGAGCGGGTGAGTGTCTGTGAACAGGGTCAGGAGCGGGTGAGTGTCTGTGAGCAGAGTCAGGAGCGGGTGAGTGTCTGTGAACAGAGTCAGGAGCGGGTGAGTGTCTGTGAGCAGAGTCAGGAGCGGGTGAGTGTCTGTGAGCACAGGGTCAGGAGCGGGTGAGTGTCTGTGAGCACAGTCAGGAGCGGGTGAGTGTCTGTGAACACAGGGTCAGGAGCGGGTGAGTGTCTGTGAGCAGAGTCAGGAGCGGGTGAGTGTCTGTGAACAGGGTCAGGAGCGGGTGAGTGTCTGTGAGCAGAGTCAGGAGCGGGTGAGTGTCTGTGAACAGAGTCAGGAGCGGGTGAGTGTCTGTGAGCAGAGTCAGGAGCGGGTGAGTGTCTGTGAACAGAGTCAGGAGCGGGTGAGTGTCTGTGAGCAGAGTCAGGAGCGGGTGAGTGTCTGTGAGCACAGGGTCAGGAGCGGGTGAGTGTCTATGAGCAGAGTCAGGAGCGGGTGAGTGTCTGTGAGCAGAGTCAGGAGCGGGTGAGTGTCTGTGAGCACAGAGTCATGTGTGTGTGTGTGTGTATATGTGTGTGTGTGTGTGTGTGTGTGTGTGTGTGTGTGTGTGTGTGTGTGTGTGTGTGTGTGTGTGTGTGTGTGTGTGTGTGTGTGTGTGTGTGTGTGTGTGTGTGTGTGTGTGTGTGTGTGTGTGTGTGTGTGTGTGTGTGTGTGTGTGTGTGTGTTTCAGGCAGGACAGCACAGTGGAAGTCGCGTTCATTCCGGGGAAAGGCCTGTTCTCCAGCAGCACCTCGCTGCCCAATGGAGTCCAGCGAGCGGGACGCCTTAAGGTCAGAGGTCATTCATTCACAAATCCAGCTTCATGAGCTTCTATTTACAGACCTCTGTCTTTACACACAGTTAACAAACCATATGGACTCTGTCCTGTTATGACTGTACAGACAGCTACAGACAGAACCCCAAGGAGGGATTCTGTGCAGGGAGTCACAGTCCCCTGTGACTCCCTGCACAGAATCTCCAATGTCTTCTGGAGAGCGTTTTAATTTTGTTCCTTTTACTGTGCAGGAAGTGCATAAAGCTCTCAAAGCACTAGACCACAGAAAACCCCCCGGACCAGACTTGATAGAGCCCTACTTCTTGAAAATAGCAGCTGACTATGTAGCACAGCCTCTTACGGTCCTTTTTAATCTTTCAATTCAAAGCAAAGAAATCCCACTTGTTTGGAAGTCTGCTTTTGTTACCCCTTTACTAAAAGGAGGTGACCCAGCTGTTTTAAGTAACTACAGGCCAATATCAAATTTGTGTGTATTGTCAAAAGTTCTTGAATCTCTTGTTTGTGATCAACTCAAAGAGTTCCTGCACTCTAATGAACTTCTCTCTAAACTGCAATCCGGCTTCAGGAAAAAGCACAGTACCATCACAGCTGCTACAAAAGTGATAAATGACATACTTGTTGCTCTTGATAAAAAGCAATATTGTGCTTCCCTTTTTATTGATCTGTCAAAGGCTTTTGACACTGTGGATCATGCTATTTTAAAGCATAGGCTTCTTTGTTTGGGACTGTCTAATCATGTTGTTTCCTGGTTCGCAAATTATCTGAGTCACAGGACCCAGTGTATTAAATATGAGGGCCTGTGTTCTGAATTTTTGAATGTCCACAAGGGGGTGCCACAGGGTTCAATATTAGGACCCCTTCTGTTCATCATGTATATTAATGAATTGGGACAAAATGTGTCTGACGCTAATATGCATTTTTACGCTGATGACACAATAATTTACTGTTTTGGAATTAACCCTGTTAAAGCTGTAGAATCTCTGCAGAAAGCTTTTGATGTGGTCCAGCACACACTTCTGCAGCTAAAACTGGTCCTCAACGCTGAAAAGACTAAAGTAATGTTGTTTTCAAATACTAAGAAGGTTTCTCAAACGATCCCCTCAGTGTCCACTTTTGAAGGAAAAGTCATAGAGGTGGTTCACACTTACAAATACCTTGGTATATTGCTTGATGACTCCCTGAATTTCAAGCCCCACATAGACAATCTTGTGAAAAAACTTAAACTCAAATTGGGCTTTTTCTTTCGAAATAAATTTTGTTTTTCTTTTAAAGCAAAAAAGCGGCTTGTCACTGCAACATTTGTATCTATTTTAGACTATGGAGACCTGCTGTACATGAACGCGTCTGCTCAATGTCTACACAAGATTGACACTGTATATCATGCTTCTCTGAGGTTCATTACTAACTGTAGGGCCTTGACCCATCATTGTGAGCTGTATTCTCGAGTGGGATGGTCTTCTTTGTCCTCCAGGAGGCAGAGTCATTGGTATACTTTTATTTATAAAGCCATGCTTGGTCTACTGCCCTCTTACATCTGTAACCTAATCTCACGGAGGAGCATTGGCTCTTATAGTTTGCGTTCAAATGATCATTTGTTGCTCACTGTTCCATTTGCCCGTTCAGAACTGGGAAAAAGGGCATTTGTTCACTCTGCTCCTTCTACATGGAACACGTTGCAAAAAGACTGGAAAATAACTGATCTTATTCCATTGAACGAATTTAAGTCCAAAGTGAGAGCACTTGAGTCAACCTCTTGTAAATGTTTTTTATAATGAGTATGTAATGTGTATGTAATTCTTAAACTGTATATTTTGCTGCCTCTTGGCCAGGACTCCCTTGAAAAAGAGGTTTTTAATCTCAATGGGACTTTCCTGGTTAAATAAAGGTTAAAAAAAAAATAAAAAAAAAAATAAAAAAATAAAAGGAGCTATATACCTCTGAGCTCACCCTTGATTGGTCAGTTAGGGTCCTGAGCTCACCCTTGATTGGTCAGTTAGGGTCCTGAGCTCACCCTTGATTGGTCAGTTAGGGTCCTGAGCTCACCCTTGATTGGTCCAGTTATGGTCCTGAGCTCACCCTTGATTGGTCAGTTATGGTCCTGAGCTCACCCTTGATTGGTCAGTTAGGGTCCTGAGCTCACCCTTGATTGGTCAGTTATGGTCCTGAGCTCACCCTTGATTGGTCAGTTATGGTCCTGAGCTCACCCTTGATTGGTCAGTTAGGGTCCTGAGCTCACCCTTGATTGGTCAGTTATGGTCCTGAGCTCACCCTTGATTGGTCAGTTAGGGTCCTGAGCTCACCCTTGATTGGTCAGTTATGGTCCTGAGCTCACCCTTGATTGGTCAGTTATGGTCCTGAGCTCACCCTTGATTGGTCAGTTATGCTGCTTTTCCACAGTCCTAGTACGGTACGTTTTGACTCTACACGGCGCGCCATGGCCCATGGTGCTTTTCCATCACAAATAGTACCCCCAGTATGTCCTCAGCGTTGTCAGACCAGGGAGAGACAGCATCAGCCATAGAGGTAGCGAGTTAGCGGCTAGGCTAAGCTAGGCTAGTCCAGACTCGGGTCCGGACTACAGCAGACTCCGAGACCAGACAAACAATCGATACCCAAACCTCAGCTACAATAATAATAAATGAATGAAACACAGTCTTGATACAATCACAGATTTATTGAAAACAAAAGTAAAGTGCAAAACCAACAGTTTACAAAGTCAAAAGTATGTATGTCTGAGACCAGGTCCAGACCAGGTCCAGATGAGGAGAATACTCCGGTCACTCATTACTCGTTGGTAATCTCCACACTTATGGAAAGGGATTCTCAAACAAATATACACACAACAACTTAAATACAAGCACAAAACAGAAACATGTGAATACTGCAGATAATACGAGATAAAGCACAGTAGCACAGGAAGGACGTTAGCTTAGCTGCTATCGCTAGCTAAATGGGGGGGGGGCGGCCCGGTGTTCCCCGGGTCCGGTGTTCCCCGCCCCGGGGAACACCGGACCCGGGGAACACCGGACCTTCCAAACGCCGGAGGGCCCGGTGTTCCCCGACTGCGGGCCTCGCTCATAGACATGTTATTGCTGCGCGCGGATAACCGAGGTGAAGTTAGCCGAACGTTTGATATTCGCCTGATATTCGAACAAAATCCCCCTGGATTCAAAGTCTGTCCGTATTTTCAGTTTAGTGAAGAGTGTAGTATTAAATGCTGTTCACAATGTTGCCACCTATATAAAAAAAACTTTACTTAGGCTGCAGCTGACAATTTATAACACGAAAAACAATGAAGATGAAGTCTCCGCTCGTACGTGTGATAAGCTCTCAGCAAGGGACCGTCTGCAAAGTGCAAGATTTGACAGAACGTTGCAGATGGGTTGATGAATACAATAAAAACTGCTTTTAAAAAGTAGCTCCATTTGAGCAATAGCTAGCTACTACAGGCAAGAATTTGGGAAAAATATGGTTTTCCCCTTCACAGTAACAAAAATGAAATTGGAAAAATTCACTAAAAATCAACAAAGATATTTTTCCAAAATTTGATGGGTGTAGTAGCTCCCATTCAATGATAGCTAGCTACTACAGCCAAACCTTTGGGAAAAATATGGTTTTCCCCTTCACAGTAACGAAAATCAAATTGGAAAAATTCACTAAAAATCAACAACGATTTTTTCCCCAGATTTGATGGGTGTAGTAGCTCCCATTCAATGATAGCTAGCTACTACAGGCAAGAATTTGGGAAAAATATGGTTTTCCCCTTCACAGTAACGAAAATGAAATTGGAAAAATTCACTAAAAATCAACAAAGACATTTTTCCCAGTTTTGATGGGTGTAGTAGCTCCATTTGAGCAATAGCTAGCTACTACAGGCAAGAATTTGGGGAAACAAATGTTTTCCCCTTCACAGTAGGAATAATGATATTGGCCTGACACACTGTATTACAGACTATATCCTCTTCTGTGTGGATAACACTGTACCAACTAAGAAGGTACGGTGTTTTTCTAACAACCACCCATGGATGACCTCTGAGCATAAAGCCCTCCTGAACCTCAAGAAAAGGGCTTTCATCTCAGGGAACAAAGAGGAGCAGAAGAGGATCCAGCACGAGCTCCAGTGGAGGATCAGGAGGGCCAAGAGGGAATATGGGAAAAAGCTGGAGCAGAAGCTGGCCCAGGGAAACGCCCGTGACGTGTGGAGAGGCCTAAAGAACATCTCTTTCTGTGGACAAAGGGCCAGCGGGACAGATGAATTTAACCAATTCTTCAACCGGTTTGATTCTCCCCCCTCTCCATCTGCCCCCCCCCCCCTCCCGCCCCCACCTCTTCAAACGTCCCCAGCCCAGTGGACACTGCCTTTGGCTGCCCTGGACACTGCCTTTGGCTGCCCTGGGCCCTCCTCTGCCCCCACATCCCCGCCCCCCACCTCTGAAAATACACCCCAGTCTTCCCCCCTCTCCATCACACCGGACCCGGTGAAGAGTCAGCTCCAGCGACTGAAGCAGAGGAAATCCGCAGGACCGGACGGGATCAGTCCCAGGCTGCTGAGGACCTGTGCAGACCAGCTCTCTGGGGTCCTCAGCTACATGTAGAACCTGAGCCTCAGCCTGCAGAAGGTCCCTGTCCTGTGAAAGACCTCCTGTGTGATCCCGGTTCCTAAAACACAGCACGCCAAGGAACCGGCTCACTACAGACCAGTCGCACTGACCTCCCACCTGACGAAGACCATGGAGCGGCTCATCCTCACCCAACTCCGCTCTGTGGTCAGCCCCACCCTGGACCCGCTGCAGTTCGTCTACAGGCCCAACATCGGAGTAGAGGACGCCGTCATCCCTGCCGGGAGCGCTGTGAGGGTCATGTTCTTCGACTTCTCCAGTGCTTTCAACACCATCAGACCGGCACTGCTGCGGGGGAAGATGGAGGACGCGGGAGTGGACAGTAGCCTCACTGCATGGACCATCAACTACCTCTCGGACCGACCACAGTACGTGCGGCTGCAGCTGT